GAGCTTCTTGCAAGATGTTCAAGAGGAAGATGAGGAATCTACTCGTGGCTCAGGGATCACCAAAATGCTGGAGCTGTCYGGATGCAAACAGGCCGACACCAGTAATAATCACGGAGAGGAAGCTGAGTTGAGCAGGTTGAGGTCCGCACTGGATGACCTTMAGTCTCAGAATACCATGTTGCAGGATGAACTCACCCTGCTCAGTAATGTAAAGGGGGAGCTTGAGGCAGAGCTGGAGAAAACCAAGGAGGAGTTCCAGATGGAAAAAGAAGAGCTGGAGTTCAAAATCAACGAGCTGCAGATGATTAGTCCTTTTACCGAATCTGTCRTGACCCTAGATCCTGATCAGGGAGAAATAAAACACTYYGTTAGGTCATCCGATGACCAGAAGGTCCTGAATTTAGAAGAGGAGCTGAGAACCCAGTGTCAGGCCTTGACCAGAGAACGAGACRCTGCAGTAGCTGAGTGCCACCACATGAGAGGCATTCTCCAAAGTGTGGAGACTGAACTGGGTGAGAAGACCAAAAACTTTGTTGAGCAGTACACTGCCATGAAGGAGCAGGGAGCTAATACAGTGAGAGACCTCCAGGACAAGATTGAACAGCTCAGTCAAGAAAGAGACGAGCTGCTGGCGAGGATGACTGAGGTCACCGAGGAGAAAAACACCCTGGTGGACGATATGCAAGAACTTCAGCAGAAGCTTGAGGCTTCCCCTGTCGAAAACCAGAACCTTCTGTCCTCCGTAAAGGAACAAACCAATTACACTTGTGCACTAAAACAGTCTGTGGAGGATCTGACGAGGCAGAATGAGGAGATCTTGTCCCAGCTTAAGATGAAGGAGAACACGCTACAAGAGTTGGAAGAACTAGTCAACACATTGACCGAGGAAAGGAATAAAGTACAACACCTGCTAAAAGTTAAGGAAGATGAAATGCAAGTCCTGAATGATGTGAAAACAAAAGACATGGAGACGCTGCTGGAGGAGAAAGCAAGAGAAGCACTTTTTATTAGAGATGAAAAAGATAAGGAGTTGGAAAACCTAAAAGTACAAACAGAGAATGMAGTGAAACATCTGAAAGAAGAGAGAGAAAAGGTGGAGGAAAGTCTGAAAGAAAAGCTGGCGATCCACGAGGAGAAGTGTTCCACGTTGGATCTGACCATTAAAGAGCTCTCCATGGAAAAGTCCGATCTCCTCCAGAAACTGGAGCAGGCTTTATCTGAGCTTTCTAAAGCTCAGGAGGGCAGTGAGCTTTTGGGCTCCAAGCTGACAGAGCTGGAGACTCAGGTGGAGCAGGGTTCAAACGAAAAGCAACACCTTGAAGCAAAGCTGAAGTCGCTGACAGAGGAGGCAGAACAGGCCTCCATTTCTGTGCAAACGCTGAAGAGAAACCACGCAGACGTACTCCAAAAGTCTGCGGACGAAGCTGAAGAGCTCCGAACACGTGTTGATGAGCTGGAGAAGGAGAGAGGCCTGTTAAAGAGCAGCCTCGAAGTAGCTGATGCTGAAAGAACAGAAGAGCTTCAAAAGTACTTGCAGGCTCACATGGAAGACCTGGAGAAGGAGCGAGACGTGTTGAGAAGAAACCTCGAGGAGGTGGTGAAGGATGCCGAGGGGCTGCAGAGTGACCTGCAAGAAATGAAATCGCTTAATGAGAAGATTGTTGATGAAAACCAGAAACTTCAGGCTCATATTTCTCTGGCTAAAGATGAAAAAGAGGAAGAAGAGAACATGGAGAAAAACAATGAAGAGCTCAAAGATCAGCTGACAGAGAAGGACTCTGTCATATCACAGCTGAGGAGTGAAATAGCAACTCTGCAGGTTGGTGGAGTGTCTGACTCCTGTTTTCCTTCCAGTCACAATAGATTCACCAATAATACTGAAGAGAAAAGAAAAATATTAACAACTGTTATTTTTTATCGTCTCTCAGGAATCTGCTGCTCAGTCCGTCTCCTCTGAGGAAAATGAAGCCAGTGAGATGACAAAGAAATTAGGTGACGATGGCTCTCATCCATGTTGTTTTACACAATATATGTTTAATTGTTGTGTTGAGCTTGTGTGTGATGATTATATATTTTAATTTAATGAATGAACTACTTCTTCCCTCAGCTCTCCTGCAGAACGAAATGAAAGAAAAGGATGAGAAGATGAATAAGATCAAGGCCGTTGCTGTTAAAGCCAAGAAAGAGTTGGACAACAGTAAGAAAGAGGTAAAGTGAAGAAGTGCAACACATCTTTGCTGTGTGGGCTATCTTGCTAATAAATATCTAATAACGCTGACATTTGCTCAGTCAACGTTTTTTCCCCCTGAAGTAACGCATCTTAATTAAAATTTTAACTTTAATAAACTACACCCCTTTCCTACTTGCTTGAATATGTATCAGCTAGAAATGAAGATCACTGGAAAAACACCCAACAGAGTATAGATCATTCAGATGTTTCTTAGTTTACTGATCATTTATCTTATTTGGCTAAAATTGTAATTTATTGYTTTTTTTTCAGGTTCAGACTCTCAAGGAGGAAGTAGAGTCGCTAAAAGCAGAGCGGGAGAAGACAAACAGCTCTATGAAAGATATCATTCATGGTGCTGAAGGCTATAAGGTAGGATACTCTGGGTTTAATCAAGAGTAGAAGTA